AATTCACCATTTTAAAGTGCACAATTTAGTGATTTTTAGCATATTCACAAGTTGTGCAACTATCAGCACTATCTAATTCCAGACCATTTTCATCACCCACAAAAAACCCTCCATACCATTAGCACTCATTTCCCTCTCCCACCTCTCCCCTCTTTCCCCAGTCCTAATACAAAGCACAAAAGTGTTTGACTATAATGGAGTCCAATTATCTGTTTTTTCTTTTGTTGTTTGTACTTTTAGTGTCATATCTAATTAGTGGTTACTAATTTTCTCTCTATCAGGGCATATCATAGAAATGGAATCATATATGTTTCTTTCACTTATAATATTTTCAAGGTTCACTGTATTGTAGCATGTACCATTACTGCATTCCTTTTTATGTCAAATAATATCCACTATATGGATTTACTACATTTGTTTATCCATGAATCAGTTGATGGACCTTTGGGTTATTCCACTTTTTGCTATCATAAGTAATTCTCTATAGTCATCTGTGTACAAGTTTTTGTATGATCAATATGTTTTAAATTTGGGGTTGTTTTTGTATATCTAACAGTGTAATTTCTGGTCCTATGGTAACTCTATGCTAACTTTTTGAGGAACTGTCAAACTGTTTTCCAAAGTGGCTGCAGCATTTTACTATCATCAGTGCCTGAGGGTTCCAATTTCTCCACATCCTAACAATACTTGTTATTGTCTGTTTTTATTATAGCCATCCTCGTGGCTGTGAAATCATATTATGGTGGTTTTGATTTGTATTCTCTAATGATTAATGATTTTGAGCACTTTTCATGTGTATAATCTTTTTGAAGAAATGTCTATTCAATCTTTTGCCCATTAAAAAATCTTTGTCTTTTATGTGTTGAGTTATATGAGTTCCTTATATATTCTGGCTACTAGACTCTTATGAGATACATGATTTGCAAATATTTTCTCCCATTCTGTGGATTGTGTTTGCTTTCTTAATGATGTCCTTTGAAGCACAAAAGTGTTTGAGTGTAATGGAGTCCAATTTATTTATTTTTCTTTTGTTGTTTGGTCTTTGGTGTCATATCTAAGACCATTGCCTAATCCAAGATCATGAGTCTTACAACCTATGTTTATTTGGAGAGTTTAATAGTTTGGGTTAACTTTAGCTCTTGGTCCATTTTGAGTCAATTTTGTATATAGTATGAGGTAAGGGTCCAAGTTTATTATTTCCATGTGGATATACAGTTGTCCCAGTATTGTTCATTGAAAGACTATTCTTTCTCCATCTATTGTCTTGGCACCCTTGGTGAAAATCAATTGACCATATGGGCTTGTTTCTGTACTTCCAATTCCGTTCTATTGACAATAAACAGGTTTTATTTTACATCAATCAATTATTTTCCCTGAAACCTAACCTGGGACCACTCTGAGTAGAATCTCTGCCATTTTTGTCCATACTTATAAACTAATTTTGGTGGAGGGCCATAGGACCTCATTTAGGAAAATAATCTGATGAATAGGTCTCTAGAAAATGAGGAATGAGACATGTAGTGGGGCATTGGAGAGAACTTTGGTTTGGCATTAGTAGGACCTGGGTTTGAATGCTAGTTCTATCTAAGATTGTGTGGTTTGGGGCAAGTTACTTAACCTCTAGGAGCTGTGGCTACTGTGAATGGAATGTTGACAATCTCAATCTCACAGGGCTGATGTCAGCATTAAGAGACAAAGGCTGTGAAAGTGATGGCATGGTCCTCTGGGACACCAGTAGGACTTGACATCAAGCAAATACAGCTTGTGGCAGTCTTGTGGCCTCCCTTCCTAGCTCCTAGGGTGCGTTGGATCAA